TCCTACGCCGGATCTAGGGAAATACAACATACATCATATGTTGTACGTAACAGGGGTGGTGGTTTTCTCTATTATTAACTTAGTCTCTCTGCAATTTCGACGTTTGTAGCGGTCAAGTGTGTGATATGCATGGAAGTGCACATATCACAGGTCCCAGCGGCTAAACTATCATCGTTACTGGACGGGGCCCCGCACCCCGTGGACAACTTTGGAAGACTTTGAAATGCAGGCGCTAACGCCTTTCCACCCCAGTCCATTATGTTGGCTTCAGCTCAGGTTGTGTTGCTTGCTTTGACCCGAAGAGTAATAAAAGTTGTCCTCATAGGCCACAGTTATTTGCAACACGAAGTAGGGGCGCTAAAGTATGTTTCATGTCGCGCCATCAGTGGGTGTGGGCGCTACAACGTACAGGAACATCCCCTTTCGGCTATCATATCTCTTTGTGCTTATTTTTCCTATCACAATTCATACAGGGGTTCGTCACTCGGCCCCTCCAAAGTCCAACAATATGTGCTAACTCCATTAGGAGTGGTACAATTCTATGGAATTAACAGCCTGCCCCGGGTTTCCGCAGCCCTTTTCGAAACTAACACCGCGTGCCTCAGCTTTCTTTCCACTGTCTACTCTGTATCTCCGACTGCGTGTATGTCACCTTTGGCGTTTTCATTATTCTGATATATATATCCATTTTCTTGTTCATGAAGCCTCCCATAATGATCGATCGCTCTGTGATTCGGGTTCGCCTTTCCCGAGTTGCTCGGTCCATCCGGGCAGTCATGCGTTGCCTCGGTGGAAATAGAGAATCCCAAGAAGGTGCACAGCGAGCTATGTTGATTATGTGTGAGCTTCTTGATCTGCTGTGTCGACTTCAAGACCAACTAAACTGGTCGGAGGATAAATGGGTCGTGGATCCATCGCGTCTGCGTAACCTTGACGAAGTGACCCGTTATTTCGAGTCGACGATTATGTCAATCGAAATATATTTTCAGCCGGGTGGAATCAGCGCTCGATCTTTCAGAAAGCGCTTGTTGGAAAACACCTTCATTCCCAGATTGGAGCATTTCAAGGTTATGATGATTTTGACCATGCAACCCGAGTCTCGGTATGTGGTGCCCAGCGGTCCCTATACTGTCCCAGGTTATAGACCAAGACTAAACTCAATTCCTTTACACAGAGAGAAATCCCGGGTCGAAACAAAACTCCGAAGTGTACTCCGGCAATTCTACGAGATGGACTCCGGTCAGTTGGAGCAAGTATGTCCCTCAAATTGGTTCTCTGGCTAAACCTCAATTTTTCAGATTCAATAAAAGCCAGCACACCAAAAGCAGAGGACTATCACAATATCACAAGTCGTATGACTACCAAGAGCTTCATGAGGCTGGCAGACCTCTGCAATAGACGACAAAAAGGAACATGCGAGTGGATATTCAACAATGATACATATACGAAGTGGCTTTTTGGCTGCAGCAGAACGCTTTACTGCGTTGGGCCAGGTACTTCATTCCTCCAAATGATGCACTCAGATCGAAACCAAAGCTAATCAGATTAACAGCCGGCGCTGGAAAGACATTCCTCGCGTGAGTCAAGCACAAAATGAAACAGGGTTGAGATTTTAACACAGCTCTAGATCCACCATCATCGATAGCCTGCAGAATGCATTCACATCTTCAGATGTGGCAGTGGTCTTTGTTTTTGGCCATGATGAAACAAATGACAACATAAGCTCCGTAGGCTTCCTCGACAAGATACTTGCGCAGCTTGTATATCGGAAAAGAACACCATCCCACACTTCTGCTTCATTGTACAACTCCAAATCTTTTGCGGAGGGAAAGGTTTCAGCAAAAACATATCAAGATGCTATTCGTGCCGAGGTCAACAGATTCTCGCGAGTTATGTTCGTCATCGATGGAATCGACATGCACGTGGAGAAGGAACGGATTTTGAATCGTCTTCAAAAACTCCCGGATCATGCACAACTTCTTGTCACGACACGAGAAGCAAAATATGCACCTAAGGACGAGCACATATCCGTTTTGGCTACCCGTAGGGATCTTGAAACATACGCATCATCCCGCATTGAGCAAGATGGAGGACTAAGCACCTTGTTGAAGCAATACGCCCCTGAGTTGAAGTTTGCTGTTGTTCAGCAAGTTGCTCAGAAGTCACATGGCTTGTAAGAGTTCACCTCCCTTGCAGCAATATTGATTTTCGGCGTTCAAGAATTTCCCTGCTAATGTGTTACTATTTTGACTTAGGTTCTTGTTGGCCCGGCTACAAATTGATATTTTATCCCGGTGCAATGATGGCAGCTTGCTACAAAGGTCTTTGTTTCATCTACCCGAGAGTTTAAGCGATGCATACGGCGAGTCTATGACCCGCATTGTTAGCCAGAACCCCTTCGCCAGTCGTTGTCTTTACTGGACATTGTATGCTCAGAGGCCTCTGACTGTTTCAGAGTTAACCTTCGCAGCAAGCTTTGAGCTACAAGGCAACGGCACTTCAAAAGAGTCATCTTTTTCTGCGCATACCATACTTTATGAAGCTGCCGGATTACTGACCATTGATGCCATGAATGGAACGGTTCACTTGGTCCACGGGACGGCTAAGGAATACCTCAGTGGACCGGCAGCTCGAGTATTCTTTCCAACCGCCAAAGCCCATATTGCAGATGTTTGTCTCTCAATAATAACCCCAGATGAAGTGATTGATGATTGCTACGTCAATCAAGGAACAAGCCCTCGTAAGCCCCGTGGAAAACTGCTCGACTATGCCACAACTTATTGGGGAAACCACGCCCGCGAAGTTGGCGAAGATGAACAGGCGACACAAGTTCTTATTCGAGCATTCTTGAACAAACTTTGCTGGAGACGACCCCCCAGCACAGAATCATGCACTCTTGGACTAGAACTGCCGAAGCAGTTGGGGTTTGGAAAGTATTTTCCCGACTGGACTTCTCTGCACGTGCTTGCTTACTTTGGCATCACTGCAAAGGCAAGTCGCTTGATTGAACAAGGCGCCGACCTCAATGACCGTGATAATCAACTTGGCATCACTCCTCTGCATTGTGCAGTATATCAAGGCAATGAAGAAATGACCGAATTGCTTCTTGATGCCAAAGCCAACATTAATGCGACTTGTAAGAATGGTAAAACTATTTTACACATGGCCGGGGAACAAGGACACCGGAAATTGATCAAGCTTTTGCTTCACCGACGAGTCAACTCGAGAACACCAACCAACCAGGGAGCGACAGCTCTTCAGCTAGCTATTGGGACAACCCATGATGAAGCAACCGTTCCACTTTTGATCAAAAGTCGATTTGACATGGATGTTCAAAACACTGTTACTGGAAACTCTGCGCTCCATATAGCAGTGGAATTGAGACGGCCACGTATTCTGGCTTTCCTTTTGGAGAAAGGTGCTAGCGTGAACGTGCTAAACAGAGACGGCTTGACTGCCCTTCAACTTGCTTGCAAAACAGACAATTGTGAAGCTGTGGCCCTTCTACTGGAACGTGGCGCTCAATTAGAAACCCGCTCTTCCCGAGGAACTACTGCGCTACAAATCTCTGCTTCCGAGGGTAATTGGGTTGCATTTGATTTGCTGGTAATTGGAGGGGCAGACATCAATGCATGGGATAGCGAAGGTGACTCTTTGCTTCACAAGCAAGCCCGTGCAACTTCACCTTCTGCGACTTCTATTGCAGCACATCTACTCGAACAAGGTGCAAACATAGAGGCTTGTAACTCACAAGGCTACACACCATTACAATCCGCCGCCGCATGTGGAAACAAACCAATATTTTTGTTCCTGGTAGACCAGGGGGCAAGACTTGATGTTCAAACTGCCAAGGGAGAAACTCTTCTTCACATCACGCCTCCTCTCAACCAAGACTGTCTTGACATTGTCGAAACACTACTGGAATTTAATTTCAGTGCGAAGGCAACAACATGCAACGGCTTGACACCTCTGCATCATCTTGTAATCAATGCATTCAACTCCCCAGATCCATTTTCTGAAAAGACTGCCATTTTCCTTTCATTGCTCCTGTCCCACGGGGCTGACATCAACACTCCAACCGCTTCTCATAAGGCCGAGACGGCACTTCATATGGCAGTGACTGCCAAAATGCCACGCGAGTCGCTAGTATTGCTGCTCATTAAGAATGGTGCATCACTTGATTCAAAGACATCTGACGGCAGAACGCCTTTACATCTAGCTGCGGAGCGAGGCCGCCATAGTCTTTTCCAAATGTTGTTAGATGCAGGCGCGGATCCTTCAATCAAAGACTCTGGGGAAACACCAACCAACGACAAAGTCAAAGGAGATGGTCAGACAGCAATAGACTTGGCTCGTAAAAACCCAGCCAGTGTGCTTTGGTTTGATAATGCAGGTAGACTGGAGTCGCTACCAGCATTGCACCAGCGCAGGAGCCTAGCCACAACTATCGACTCAGTCGATATTGGATCTGACGTTGGTGAGATAGCGGGCTCGACTTTGGTTGGTGAAGGTGAAGATTGCTCGATCTGGGGATCGAGAGCGTCAACCACTTCCCTGGATCTTCCGTCTATCGTTTCTTCTTCTTGTTAAGATATATACCAACTAATTCGACATCCTGCTCTTTGATTTTCGCTCTCTTTTTGTCTTTACTCTTATATTCCCCTTGTCTGTTTTGTTTTTTTTGGCTCTCTCACTCACGTCCTCTCGCTGCATAGCGCTAGCGTTGCTCTTAGTTACGCTATGGTCTTATTTCACTAAAATTTCTTTTATTCTTGGTTGTGCTCCCAAGTCGTGTATATATAAAGCATGTTCAGTATAGACCATTAACAACTTGGGAAAACTCCAATTATCTTACTTTAGGCCTGTCTATGTGGATTTAATGGGTATCCTTGTAGCTCTTGACGATGAGTATCATAGGTATGAAAGTTTATAGTGGAAATCAAAGAAAGCAGAAGCTCTGCGGGTGTATTGCCAAATAGACAGGGCCTTGTCGTGTTGGCTCAGCCCATCATACGAACGACTAGATATGCCCACCCATCTCCATAAGCAGAGCTTCTCACGAGCTCCTCGATTGTAGCAGACATGGGTATCACAGCACCGTGTAATACGGGCTTCGCAAGGACAGGGGTTCTCCGGCTGGGAAATAGATTCGGTAGCAATGTGTGCAAAACAGTCCCGACCGTTTGAGGTTGGAGGGTGGAACCGCTCCGCGAGCTCAACATCTGACTTGACTGCATACTCAATGCTGGAATCGAAGGAGGAAGCGGCGATTGTACCACTTTAAGGGAAGAAGACTCGGCATCTAATGGGAGTGGTAGAAAAATCCTGATCGGGACGTTGCGGAATGGTTGTGAGAGCTGAGGAAGAAGGACATTTGATATGCGCTGAAAAGATGAAAGATCGACTGTGTTTCTTCGCGTTAGAATGGCCTCTATCATTGATGCAGTAGAGAAATTTCTACACAGAATGCAAGATGCTTGACGTACGTTCTTGAACTGCATTCCAAAGACCAGACGAGTCTTCTTTTGAGAGACTCATGATGCCTTTTGCTGTACCGTTTCGTAAGAAATCCGCCTCCTTCACACTATTTATGAAGGCGTCATTCATGACCATTCCATCAGCATCAAGCCGAACAAGGTCATCCGGCCAGTCGCTAAAGTGCAATATCAGACGCCAGGGTAGCGATGGCCCGCTCTCGGGAGACTCATTACTTCTGGCGGCGGCCTTCGAGGCTGGGTCTGCTCCTGCATAGAGGTCGAATAACAGCCCGATTGGGTAGTGCCACTTCAGAGGGACACCCTCAAACTCAAACCAGCCATCATGAGACTGGGAATTTGGCTCTATCAAAAAATTTGAGAAGAAAGCTCGAAGCTTGGGTAGCAGCGAGGGGAGGTATGAGATGCGCGGATATGCGATCTAGCAATGGATGTCAGCATTTGTGCATATCAAGCGTACTTGAACGGACATACAAGATAAGGATCCGTCTTGTCAAAGGTTCGGCTCTCTGATGAAGCTAGAACAATCTCTAGTGGCAAGCGCCCGTCCCAGACGGCCTTCTGGATAGAGCCGAGAGACACTCGGTTCTCCATCTTGATGAGCGAGAAGGCGTTCTATTCTTCCTTCCAATGTTTGCTTTTCTGCTGGTCTGTCGGGACATGGTTAGCTCATATAGCTATTTACAATCTAGGAAAACAAACTTGATCTTCACACACCGTGTTTCGAATTACTAGACACGCGCTGAGATTCTCATGTCTTCAACCGATAAGACTCGCCTGGAAATAATGCCCCGCTTTATATGTGGTCATGATCCGGGAGACGGCGTATCCACAAAATTCCCGAGACACTCGACCACACTTTGACAACCAAGCGTTTTAGGTCCAAGGAGATATAAGCGGTTCGTGTTGACATAGCGTGACTTGAAGAAGCGCCAAAGGTTGAAGACACGTGTTTCTGCCTCAGGCAACAATTGTTCATATTTATGCCTCAGGTATCATTCCTTCCAACCTTGGAACTTTCCAATTAAAACAACAATGACTCATGGACAATTTATACACAAACAATATTTGATGCGATAGAACTCAAGGTTCCTCTAGCAAGCTGATCTTCCAAGACACTGGTATCGTTCATATTCTCGATATCCAGGACCACTCGCCGAGAGGTGTTCCATCCGCGATGCTTTGCAACTGCCTTGGAATCTTGGTATCACCCAAATCCGAAAGCTTCTTGGCATGATGCTTCTGCAATATAGCGACTGCATAAATAGGGTAGTGAGTCCTAATCATAAAAGGATACCCCAAATCTGCTAAAGGGGCGACCAACAAATTCATGCTGCCCACGTTCAACATCGCTTCCAAGCTAGGTGTAAGCCGTGCCAAGGGTTACAATTAGAACAAATCGTATGCCGAGAAGTCTGGAAACTGCCGCCGCGGAAGCTGCATGGCCAAACACTATCCCATGGCCAAACACTATCCCGGGGTGCCACTCTCTGGATAGCATGTGACTACCATACAGGCATAGACCAACTCAAGGCTTGCACCTCATAGCTGACACGAGGAATGAAGCTCTATTGAAATTTGGAGCAGCAGAAGCTTTCGTCTTGGAAGCTACCACCAAAAGGGTAAGCAATATGAGAGAATTCGGGGATAGAACTGCTAGAATATGCCAGTCAATAAAATCAAATGCTGAGGTTTTGCACTGTCCTAAGGGGCCTCAGGTATGTAACGGTCCCATTTCTGAAAGATCAGCCAAACTGAGCATGTCCCCGCAATCCATATTACAAAATACGTTTTCCCCCCACGCCACGTACGCCCCTGTCGATTTTATAGCGAAAAGTTGATTTGTGGATTTTTTGGATCAAGGAAGACAGGTACCCACAAACGCACAGCAAACTCCATTGAGTATCAGATATTTTACCAAGGTTATTGGGAAAACCATTGGGCGATAAGTTGTGCATTCAAAAGCACAATTTCTTGAACGCCCCTGGGATATCGTCGGGACAGTTTAGTACCAAGGGCTCGGCGGCAACGCCACGACCTCCTTCCAAGCCGGAACCGGGCCGAAAAGAGCTTGTATAGTCCTTACAAGGTTGTCATTAAAAACCACCAGCGATAACATCATGGTTATGTAGTAATAGTATAATTTTATTAGATCGGCCCGTTCGCGCGTATATATCTATTTGTTGGTAATCCAGTCCCGACGGCCCTTGCAATGTAAACCCCGGAGTTACGTTTAGTGCAAACCTTGGAATGTACTATCCTGGGCACGTGGGGGTATGAGCCGCCACTTCCGGGGGATATTGTGGGAGTGTTGGATTCCAAGTAGGCATAAACCATGATGCAAGTTGAAGGATTCCTCCTATCAGCACAGTATGTACCAAATGCAGTTGAAAATTCGAAAATTCTTCTTTATTTTTTATATTTGTCTAACTTACTTCGGTTAGTGTCCCGAAGTCGGGGATGAAATAGACTTTTATCCCTTCTTCCGTTTACCGTCGGTGTGCTTCGCTCGTCGGTGTGCAGTATTTGCCTGCCCGAGAGCTCGGCAAACCCCCGGCTCCACACATGGTTAAGGGTTCTCCCCCTGTAGACAATATGCATTTGCATGCATCTCCTAGACTAACTGGGGAAAACAAATCACGGGGTATTCACTTAACAAGCGGGATTTCGCTGTGCCAGTCTCTCCACTGCTACAGCTTGCACTGCTATTCCGTAGAGAGAAAATAATCCATCACTGGGGCGATGGGCCTCACCGGCGTCCCCATTCAACTCAAATGGCTAAACCCACAAAACTCGTCTCCGTTATAGGAGCAAAATTACATTTTATAAACATATCTAACATCTACTGCACCCAAGAAACCCCTATTAATAGAAGGAAACAAGAAATTCAGGGTGGTCTCATCTAGTTTGATATACGTTGGATTCTATGGATTGATTCTATATAAAGCTTATTTTCCGGCTGAATGTTTCGTCCGGGGAAAACGCTACCCCGGCCTATGTTCCCACTCGTGGAAATCTTCATGCAACTAATCATCGTCGTGTGGTAGCCTCACATCTGAACCCCATATTATATTGCCCCGGTCTATGGGGTTTTAGGCGACCGGTGCTGTGGGGAGCATAGTTGGGGAATTTCCACACCCACAGTCCATTAGGACAGCGGGTATTACTTAGGGCCCCGTTCTACCACCTTTTGACTTTCCCTTTCCTCCATCTGCCCTCGAGCAAATTTTTTTGGGTCGTCTCAACCTGACCTTCTATACTATCCTATCTCACTCAGCTTGAGCTGTCATCTCTTCAGCCATGGGCATCCTCACACTTGCGGAGGATCGGCCAACGCCCAAGTCCGTTTACAACTGGCGTGTATATGCACTCGCTGGCATTGCATCATGTGGCTCCAATATGATCGGTTATACCAGCGCCTTCATCGGTACAACTATCACACTCGCATCTTTCAGGAAGGAGTTCGGCATCGACGAGATGTCTCCCACACAACAAAGTCTAATTAGCGAGAACATCGTCTCACTTTTCATTGCTGGTGCCTTTTTCGGCGCCCTGGGAACATACGCCCTCGGTCACTTTATCGGCCGCAAATGGAGTTTGGCTGTTGCTGCCACCGTGTTCTTTCTCGGAGCTGGACTACAGCTCGGTGCTAACAGTGCTCGAGGGCTGGGCATTCTGTATGCTGGCCGTGTGCTGTCCGGTGTGGGTACCGGCGTAGCCTCGAATATCATCCCTATATATCTTTCCGAACTATCGCCACCTGCCATCCGAGGACGGCTCGTCGGTCTGTATGAGCTTGGCTGGCAGATAGGAGGAATGTTAGGTTTTTGGATTAACGTGCGTCTCCCTCCCTCTCGCTGGTCTTTGTCTCCCCTCGTGCCGTCTTTGCATTCAAAGCTAACCAGACATGGTAGTATGGTGTTGAGCAACACATGCCTCAAGACCACGAACAATGGATCATCCCCTTCGCCATTCAACTCGTCCCGTCCGGTTTGCTTTTCGTGGGTGCCTTGTGGATCAAGGAATCTCCTCGTTGGCTGTTTCTCAAGGACCGTCGCCGCGAAGCGATGGATAATCTTTGCTGGATTCGCCAATTGGAAGCCGACGACATGTATATCACCGAAGAGGTGGCTGCGATCGACCAGGCTCTTGAAAATCAGAAGACTACTATCGGTATTGGCTTCTGGAAGCCCTTCCAGGCTCTTGCCACTAACAAGAGCGTCATGTACCGTCTGATGTTGGGTTGCATGCTCTTCTTCTGGCAAAATGGATCTGGTATCAATGCCATCAACTATTACTCGCCTACCATTTTCAGATCGGTATGACTACGCTTCATCTAATGCGTTTCTAATTGTTCATCAATGATGCTAACTTATATTCCTTAGATCGGTGTCGACTCCAACACCGTTAACCTGATGACCGGTATCTTCGGTGTTGTTAAGGCCATTATGACCTTCGTGTGGCTCCTGTTCCTGGTTGACCAATTTGGAAGGCGCAATCTGCTCCTTGTTGGTGCCGTGACTGGATCGATCTGTATGTGGGTCATCGGTGCCTACATCTGTGTTGTCAAGCCCGAAGATAACCCCAGCACGTCTCTGAACGGTGGAGGCATTGCGGCCATCGTCTTCTTCTACCTATGGACTGCAGTCTACACCCCTACCTGGAATGGTACCCCTTGGGTTATTAATTCCGTAAGTCGTTGCCCATTACCATCCTCAATTGACCTTTTCCTAACAAGCTATCAGGAATTCTTCGACCCCAATTTCCGTTCCTTGGCTCAGGCCGCCACAACTGCGAGCAACTGGCTCTTTAACTTCCTCATCTCTCGCTTCACCGAACAAATGTTCGCCAAGATGCACTACGGCGTGTACTTCTTCTTTGCTGCACTGTCATTCTTGGCATTCTTCTTCGCCTTTTTCCTCATCCCCGAGACCAGTGGTATCCCTCTTGAGAATGTCAACCGCCTATTTGATTGCAAACCCGTCTGGAGAGCAAACAAGATGCTCAAGGCTGCCCTCGCAGAAGAGGAGGAGCAGTTCCGCAACGATGTTAAACAGACATCATACCATGAGGAGAACAGTGGTTCAGCTGCGCCTGGGGCTTAGCCTTGCGGTGAAAAGAGACGAAAGTTTGCAATACGGTTACGAATGGGGATATATATATAGAGTTACTTGTGGGCCTTGTACAGATGATAGACACTGGATAGATTGACGTGCATTTTCATGGATTTATTTTTTAATTTGCACAAAAACATCCAGTATGCTGACCCAGTGTTGAGTAGTTAGCGATGCGTAAGTTCGCAAGTTATTCGCCCGTCTTTGGGTGATCTCCCCCCCCCCCCCCCTNTACTTCAATGTCTCAAAAGCCCGAATATTATCACTCTAGATCTCTATTTATATGTAAACATCATATCTAGAAGAAGAAAAACACGAATCAATTATCGGTGGAGCGCAGCAACATGTGAATATTGGGCGGTCCGTAACGCCTAAACAATTGGTTCCTTGAAGATTGAAGAACGACTGAGTATTATTCTCACGCGTAATGTAGGGTATAAAATAACTCGGATTAATAAGCAAACTCCTGTATTTTGACAG